AGTGTTTCGTGGTATTCGCTTTCTCACCCCATGGATAAACAATCATACACCCCGCAGCCCAGATGTGACAGCTAACAGACCATAAGATGACCATGTGTAGTCTAATATGAAAGTAAGAGAGGGAGAATCTAATAACATTGTATAATCATTATGTTAATAAAATCTAGGAGCAGTATTGGTTCTTTGAGCAGATATATGATTGTTTATCCTTGTTGCTCCTTGTTTGTACACTAGTTTGGATTTAATTAAGCAGTATAAGCTGATGATCACAAAACTACAGTTCCTCAGTAAAATTAAGTTAAATCAACTCATCTGAAGCTGGAAAAGTCTGTCATTTTTAAGTGGAAAATGTGTTGGAACTCTGTATGAAGTCAAACATAAACAGATGTTTCATCTAATTATCTCTAACATGTTGAGTAAACAAGACTGAATACAGTGGCTGTGAATTTGATGGCTGAGTTTGCACTCCAGCCTGTCTCACGGTAATGTTGTTTTTATGTCCGTTCAAGGACACGGACTTTGTTGTTGATGTATTTTACGGTATTGTTTCAGGCCACCCAGGAGGAGCTGAAAGCAGCATACAGACGACTGTGCATGCTGTATCACCCAGACAAACACCGGGATCCTGAACTAAAGCGACAGGCAGAGCAGCTTTTTAACCTTGTACATGAAGCTTATGAAGGTTAGGCAAGCTTTGACTGCATTAGCCTGTTTACATATGTTCATAATTGCACAAAGTTTGTTTTTATTTAATATTGTTGATGTTTATCCTTGTTTTTTTTAGTCCTCAGTGACCCACAGGCGCGAGCTATCTATGATATCTATGGCAAGCGAGGACTGGATGTTGATGGATGGGAGGTAAGTTTCTCAACCATTGGAGTGAACCTGAAAAAGTACACACTTGTTACTGACAGAAGAAGCCAAGTGTCTTTATTGTCATTTGCATCACATGTGGTACATGAGGTGGAACGAAATGATGTACTCAGGGTCCCAGTTACACCCAAAAATAGCGAAAATATAAAGTATTAAAAGAAACAGTATATAAGGATCTAAGATATACACTAAATGAACACTAAACAGAACGCCAAAAGATCTAAGGTATACGCTAAACACTATAATGTAAATAATATGGTTTATTAAACAGCAGCCCGGACATTTAACATAAGCATAAGCAGCCCGACAGAAGCTTTTAACTTCACATTGACAGTTGTTAGACAGTATATTTTTTTAATACTGTATGTTGAATTTGTTTTAAATGTCTCATACTTATTGTTTCCAACATGACAATTTATCTCATCAGACATTTGGTTACACATAAGTCATAAAGGTGTCAGCAGATCAAGTCTAGTAGAAATAAAAACAACTTCCTTCTAATAATACAGGCTGTTATATTCCTGCCATTCTCTTAATTTAATCTGATTGGTCAGATTATGTTCTTTCTAAATCTAATTTTGTTTTGAGGTGTTCTGGTTTTAGTGGATAAGTGGATTGATGTTTAAAAACAATCTTTATTACGATTTCCACTACATTCCAATCTGCAGCGTGTTTGTGTACCGTGTTGACTCCAAGTTAGCATGAAATTAGTTGTGGTTTGGTTTATGCTCACTTTGTATTCTAATCCTATCTTTCTCCTGCAGGTGGTGGAGAGGAGAAGGAGCCCTGCAGAGATCCGGGAGGAGTATGAACGGCTTCAAAGGGAGCGGGAGGAGAGAAGGCTTCAGCAAAGGACCAACCCAAAGGTTAACACAGCACAAAGTCTGTCTTTGAACTGAATGTAATGTGGGTATTTTTGTTTATTTCTTTGTTAATGAGCTCAGAATGATTCTTGAATCACTTTACAGGGAACGATCAGTGTTGGCATTGATGCCACGGACCTCTTTGACCACTATGACGAGGACTATGAGGATGTGGTTGGAGGCATCCCACACATAGAAATCAACAAAATGCACATATCACAGTCCATAGAGGTCCGCAGTCCAAGTTCCACACTCTTTGGCTTTTAGGAAATATGTTTGATGCAGTTTCCCTACAAACATAGAGTTCCATGTATTCTGCTACAGGCTCCTCTTACTACAAAAGACACAGCCATTTTGTCCGGCTCCTTATCAACCCACAACGGAAATGGAGGCGGCACCATTAACTTGGCACTAAGAAGAGTCACCTCGGCAAAAGGGTGGAGTGAGGTACGGTGCATTCCCGCTCATTTTTGTTTGTGTTTGTCACAAATTAACATTTGATCATTTAAGATGTGAAGCTTGATGTTTTATTGTGTTTCTACAGATAGAGTTAGGAGCTGGAGACACTCATGGACCTCTCTTTGGTATGAAGATATTTCGCAACTTGACGCCCCGGTGGTAAGTTTAGAATCACAGCACAGTAAATTTAGTGTTATAAATGTTCATGCTAAGTAAACAATGAAAATAAATCTTTTCTCGCCTTTTTAAAATGTAATTCAGCTTTGTAACGGCTCAGTGTGGACTCCAGTTTTCATCGCGAGGCATACGCCCCGGGATGACAACAGTGCTGGCTCGCCACTTAGACAAGAACACTATGGGTTACCTGCAGTGGCGCTGGGGAGTCCAGTCCTCTATGAACACCAGCATAGTGAGGGACACTAAGAGCAGCCACTTCACCTTTGCAGTACAGGTAAAGTAGCCAGCAGTTTCATTTTACTATATTTAACTCTAAAAACAATCAACAGCTTATTGTCAGATTTGTGCCAAAAGTGATATCGTGTTCTTTGTCTCTGCAGCTCGGCATCCCTCAAACATTTATGATGATGAGTTACCAGTACAAGTTTCAAGATGAAGACCAGACCAAGATTAAGGGCTCTGTAAAGTATGTTGTCAAAGTGCAATGTGGGTGATGTAATGTAGTCATAAAATTATATTAAAAATGCTAAATAGGACATTTATAACCGCCTGATTAGGACACAGCAGATGGAAGCCAAAGTCACCCCACATTAAATGTTTCACAGCATAATATTTATTTACAGTGAAGAGTTTTAAGTCACTCTCCTGATTCCATTTTTGGATCAGAGTTTTTACAGCATAAGCCCCTTTCACACTGAAAGACGACCGTGCCTTGTTTTTCACGCTCTACGTGACCACTTGAAAAACCTTCTATGTGAAGGCAATCATGAGACTTCTATACTCTGAGTGCTTGCCAAATACATTTACCGTCTTATTTCATATTGCATTACTGAGGCACTTTCCTGCACATTCACCACACTATATGTTGGTGACAGTTCTACAGCCCAGGACCGTCCCAAGTCCCACCATGCCACCACGTTTTCAACCATATAGTGATGCAGCTATAAGCTGGAAGATATGCCAGCATGATGCTACCACCACTGCCATCACATCTGCACGATGATGTTTCCATGACCTTGTCACAATCACAGTGGTATGCCAGGAAAGTGTAGCCAGTCGTGCTTCAAATTCGTAACACATTACTTTAGGCCATGCATCATGATTGCACTGTCAGAATGCTCCACCCAGGACCCTGATACACTGCCACCATGCTCCATGAAATACCCTAATACACTGCCACCATGTCTCACACAGGACCCTGATACACTGCCACCATGTCTCACACAGGACCCTGATACACTGCCA